TAATGAATTTTATGAACAATTCCGTATTTGAAACAGCAGCGGAGCAGTTTCGAATGGAAATCGTCGCTTTCTACAATATCATTTTAATGGAGGCTATTCCAAAATAGAGGCCAACATGTTCGCAGTTTTCAAATTCCATTGGTAACTGCTCTCAATAGAAACAGAAGTTTTTGTTTGAATCGTTCGAAAGAAAACCATCATTTCCTGTAATCTGTACATAAAATGGATTATCTAAGATAATTGTTCCATAGAATTCTTTTTGGTCGAATATTTATTCGAATGACTAGCATTCATTATTCGTCATAAATTATTATTCTATTTATTCGAATGACTAGCATTCATTATTCGTCATAAATTATTATTCTATTTATTCGAATAATTCTTTAATAAATTATTCTATTTATTCGAATAATTCTTTAATAAATTATTCTATTTATTCGAATGATTCTTTAATAAATTATTCTATTTATTCGAATAATTCTTTAATAAATTATTCGAATAGAGATTGTAAAATGATTCGAATAGCAATGCGAATAATTGTTGACTGTTCCTCTGTCCTCGCACAATTTTAATAAATTAACAAGCTATGAAGAAACACTTTATGTTCTATCATTTTTATTGAAATCGATTATTTTCCGTATCAATTCCTATACAAATAAATTCTTAATCGAATAAAATCTTAACGGATACATTTTTCTTTTAACTCTTATCCATCAACGAAACGAAACTTTCCCCAACTACGAATGTAGCCCAACAATTGCTACCATTTACACGAAATCTACATGCGATTCCAGCACAAACTATCGCAAAAGAACGGTGAAAGTAATTATTTCAAATGAGAAGCTTCCCATGTTAAATGATAATGTATTAAGAAAACGAAAGGAACAAGTTCCAGAGCACTTTTAGCATCTAATTTATTGTACATTAAAATACGTTTAACAGTTCCGAAGGAATGCATAATAAAGTTTCTCAACTGGCACCGTCTCTGTGGACACGTTCGCTAATTGAGAACGCCGTCGGGCCGAAAACTTCCAAGAACTTGTACGAAATCGAATTCCGAAGACAATTCGTTTGAATTGCACTTTCCGCTGTCCGACGGGCTGAATTAGAGCATTGTAACGCGTCCCCGCGATTCAATGGGTTTTCGAGCGGCCAATCTGATCGCGGATAAGCTCGTCCAAACAAAAGGGGATTGTCTTCGGAACCCGATATACGGCTAACTTCCGAAACCGAATCGCGGTTGACACAACAGAGGCTGAGGGGCCCAACTTCGAGGCGACCAGCACGAGCGAAGATTTAATAACCCCATCCCCTTTCTACGGCCACCTCGACGCTTCGCTCATTGGGAATTTAATTAATGGTCTCTTGAAAATGATTCATAATTGATTTTTCCACATTTCGATGAATTATTCAACAGCAATGTCGATTGGTAACCGAACAGATATCGTGAGAAACATAATTATAATAACATATAATAACATATAATATATATAATAAGTATAATAAGTATATATTAAGTATATATATACATATATATATATATATATATATATATATATATATAATAACTTATTATAACTTATTATATAATATAATTTAATTATATATTATATATATATATATATTTATATATATATTTATATATACTATTATATATATATTAAGTATATATATATATGTATATATATATGTATATATATATAATATTATATAATAAGTATATAATAACATATATAATAACACCGAGGTCCTTTTTCATATAGCGTTGCCATCCAGAAGCTTATCGATTGCTTTTTTTAATGACCGCGTCATATCACAAGAATTTTCTTGTAAGAAACTGATCCGAGAATGTTACAAGTAGACTGCGGTGTTTTAACGCAAAATAAATATCGTTTTAACTTGGTTACGAGAAACGTAAGTCAGATGACAGTGTCTTTGCTCTTTTAATTATTTTAACGAGTTATACGTAATATAAAAAATATTCAGAAAATTTGCTCGTATCTTTACAATTTTATTATCGAATTAATCGTTTCTATGAATAATGCATAAAATCCGCGGTCTAATTATAAGACTATTATTATTAGACTAATTATAAGACTATATATTATATAGTTATATTATATAGTATATTATTATTAGTCTTATTATAAGACTATTATTAATTATAAGACGATTTTTTTTTTTAGAATGAAATCATTTTCGAGAGATCATTAGGTGAACGAATAACGAACTAAATTGAATTTTCCAAAACGCGTCGAATCGTTCGAGTACTACATACCTTTATTGGAAAAAAAACTATCAAACCAACTGTTTACGCATCGGCTCCGGCCACTCAATAGGCTTATCTTTTAATCCTTTTTATAGTCTCGTACGTCCTGCTTTTAGAAGCTCTTATCGAACTCGTTAAATCGCCCCGAAAAATTGAAGGTTCCGAAGTTACTTTAATACGAAGATTAGTTCGATAAGAGAAATCATAACAGCACGGTCTCCCCGAGTCGGTAAAAGAGATTAAAATAAAATCCAGGCGAGTAAGTTAAACCAATAAGTCAGGAATGACCGCTCGACGGTCACCGATAAGAATATCGTCCTTCTATAAATATCGCTTTTTCAAGTATAATTTGTTAGTCCATTAAATACAGCAATTACGAGATGTGATACGGGCACGCAACGGTAGCCAAAGGTTTAACGTCCGATTTTTCTTTTTTTTTTTTAACGTTCCGACGTGTTGCGATAACTGCGCGAAATTATCACGTACAAAACGATAGTATTAAAACGAACGCGTCGATGTATCGCGGAAACAGGCATACGTGCATACATATTCCCTCGCGTAAGAGTGTGGAACCGAAAAACACCGATATTTTTGAAGTGGTGCAATTTCGATTGCCACTGCCGCGCATCGTTCGAGTACGGGATTTAACGACTTCTTTAGCCATCGATGTTTCAGCATTTACGACAGCAATATTCGTCGGTTTTGACGTAAAAGATATGCGTGGCAAAAAATAGGAACACATCCTTGCCTCACGGAACAGCCTGCCGAGCGATAACAACGACTCAGGAGATGTGCAGGTAGCATGGTGGCATTATTCGAACTCTTTGGAATTAACCCCTTAACGTGCACGCTCGAGTTAACTCGAGCGCGCTAAACTGGCCGAACTGTGCACACTCGAGATAATTCGAGCAGCGTTGTACTTTATGTTGCTATCATTTTTCACACTCGAATGCAATCGAGAATTGAAAATAACAATGTGAAAGCAAAAAAAAAGACAATCGTTTGATTGATATTTATCATTTACATGGGATTGTATAAGCTATATAACACTTACTTATTCAAGTATAAAATATATCCTTTTTCTACTTATCACTTACGACTTGTCTCTTCCTTGTGAGCCGCTTTCCGACAGCGTATTCATATTCAGATTCTGATTCGCTCATTTTTCAATATATATTTTACTAAAATATAATGTAAAATAAAATATAAATAATAATATATATATATAAATATGATAATAAATATTACAAATACTAGTATTGTTATTATTTATGTTTTAAAAGTATAAATAAATATTTTTACTGATAATAATGTTTATTCTGAAAAAAATGGGAATTCGAAAAGAAAGATAAAAAAAGTCGATGTGTGCGTGTAATATTACAATATTCGACTATTTTCTGAGATGTTATCAAAATCCAAAATTGCAATAAAAATTTTGATTATTTTTGTATTTTTGTAATTTTCTTGCCAAGACAACGTTCTAAATTGTGTATTTTTACATTTAAAAAAATTGATCTTTTTTGGCCGGCCTTTTTCAAAAAACTGTGCATTAAGGGATTAAACTCTTTCGAAACGATTAAATCCTGAGAACAGTAAACGTTTCAATATTTATATTTATATTATTATAATATATATTTTCCGATTCAACGGTTTGGCAACACTGCACAGAATTCCCCATCAATTGTTGCAAAATCGTGCAACGTCAAATGACAAAATAAAGATGAACTAACCCCCGATCATCGTAAAGTCATAAGTAAGAACGATTTTATAAACCTCAGCCTCATGATTTCATTGGAATCTCTGCGTAACCGTGTAACATAAACGATGTAAAAATGAACGAACGGACGAACAACTGAATTACTCGTCGACAGACACAGGAGAACAAGTTCAAATCTTTCCGGTAGCTCATAAATAAACTGTTACATTAAAGCTGCAGCAGTTATAACATTCTTTGGAATATCGCAGAAATTATACGATTCAAAATAAAGCAGACTGTTTACTATCCGAAATACCTACTGTGTCGCACTCGGCAGTGGCACGGACACAGAGGCTCGGTCAGGTGTTTGTGTAACTGGTTGGTAAGATTCGCGCCTAACCATTCGTCGCTGCACGGTCGCGCGTTTCCATCGCGGTAGCCCGCGCGTATCGTTGTACCCCGCGTTACGCGTCCTTCTAATTCACGGATTGTATCTGTGAATTGTTTACTCGCTGCGCAAATCATTGAAAACGTCGTAGAAATCGAAAGAATAGAAACGCGGGTCGGCCGTCGAAGAGGACACAGACAGTCGGTTCGGATTATATGCGTGACAGTCGGGAAGCGATAGCGATAGCACGATAAAGTTACCGAGAAAGCAAGGATCTAGATTATGATCTTTGTTCGGGGATCTGTCACACGTCCGATTGACAGCTAGCAGCGAGAGCTGTACACACAGAGCGCGCCACGCAGTCCCAAGCAGCCTCGCGAGACACCACGCACTCCGAACGACCAATGGCGCGTACATATCTTTCTAAAAGAAACACGTTAATCTCGCGCAAGGTCGACGTCGTGCGCGACGACGGCCGCCCTTGAGACAAGGGTGCGAACGGAAAAATACGAGCGACACCGGGGGGAAAAAAAGGGCGTGTGAATGCCCGCCGAGTTCCTGGCGTCCACTCTTGACACGGTGTAATGACACGAATTGCTCGGTAAAAACGTGGACCGACGTCGGATCGAGCGCGGATTATCGATTACCTGGGTATGCAGTCGGGCGCTGTACGGTCCACTTCCCAGGTGGCGAACAGCTTCATGGGAACTGGCCGGGTGGCCGGGGCTGTCGTCTTCGTACGCTCCGCCATTTTTGGCCCGTCGGCCCACAAATACACTCCCCACACCTTCAGTTCACCGCGGCTCGCGGCTGACTGACTAAGCCCGCTCGTGGCGCCATGCGAGAAACCGCTCGACCGACTCGGCGACCAGTCACGGAAACGCACGAAGACACCTCTCGGATAAGACGTCAAGTAAAACGATAGTGCGCTCCTCTACACGGTAGGGGCCCCTCACGCGCCGGCCTGCCCCCTTCGAGAGCGTCGTTTTGTCTTTAAATCATATATGTATACTGCTAGACACGGCGTGCGTATAGGGCGTGTATAAGAAATCCGAGAGTTCAGCGAAGCAAAGATAACAATGGTTGAAACGTTGTGCGTGCGTACGATAACGATGTAGAATCAAAGCGTATTATTCAATTAATAAAAATAATCAGTATCAACGTCTCGATGAAACTTTTTAAATACATTCCGCGAAATTCTAATTCTCGAAGTATGCATATTTCATATTTAGTCGATTCAATTTGTTTTCAGAAAGCTAAACATTTTCGCATATTCATCAATGTCGAACGTTAAAACAGTTTAACGCGTTTAGAATATCAATGTGTTACTTTTTATATTATACCACGTGTACGTATTACACTTGTTCACTGTATTATGTATATTATACCACGGTGTACGTATTACACTTGTTCACTCTGACGTCACGTAGATGATTTCGTCGTTTGCTTCAAAAAACTGATCTAAAACCTTGTCTATAGGGATATGCGGTTTAAGGTTTTGCCCAATCGTAGCGAATTTCTCTGTAACTGTAGTGCGTTCGTGGTGAAAATAGCGCACAAAATTACGGAAGAGAACAAAGAGTTTGCAACCGGCGCATGCTAATAAGTTTTTCATCATTTATTTTGCTCAATTCATTTCACAGTGGGGACTTTTTTCTTTATTATTATGATTACATTATCATGCTTAATATGTTAGAAAAAAATAGTTAAAAATTTAAGATTTCAAACCATTTGTGTCACTATAGAAACAAAAAATACCACCAAAGAAAGTATTTGAACCAGGTATATTTTTCAGTGAAGCTCTTCTTGCTTGCAAATGCGTGCAATTTCAAAAATTGTAAATTTCTGCAATAATTGAATTATACAATGGAAATATGAGTTATTGTTAATAAGTTTATGTGATTATATTTTCCATCTGAGTTTAAAGAATGTCAGGCAATAAAAATGATCAAGATTTTGTTCAGCTTCTATGCATTACTCAGAATATGTACTCTACAAGAATCCGGTCGTCATTAAATAATTTAGTGATTAGTTTGGAATAATGATTGAAAAATATATAAGGTGGTTACAGTACCTAATTGTTCCGGACATTACAATGGAAATAAGAAACGAAAGAAATATACGAAAACTTGAGGGTACTAGAAGAAGTATAGTGATTTGTAGAAAGAAGAAAATTGTACTAATCTGAAACAGGTACGTAGTATGGTTTGAATTACGCGCACAATTCCTGAGTATCTGCTGCATTCGTTGCAGACCCCTACTATCATGCCGAGCAACAAGATGAATGGGGACACATTATGATGTTGTCTCTTGGGAGATAACTTAGTCACCGCTGAAAATACCTTAGTGACATCACATTTCCCCCGTTATCTTTCCTTCACTGGATTCTTGGATTTCCTATAAACGTACTATACACAAACCGTGTATATTTGGATACAACCATGAATGAGAATTAATATAGAGCAGTCCTAGTAGGTATAGCGAGGTTTCTGTTTTATCGACTGCATGGAGAACAATACCAGAGACGAAACTTGTATTGGAATAAAAATCTTTGACCACAGACCAGGTATAGAGTAGATTCAGCACTTAATATATTTTTCTGTTCCATGAAAATAGGGCTCGTCTACTGATATTTGAAAAATTTAAGTTCCTTAGTAAGAATCGAGTATTCTGTACACCACATTTGTATTACGCTACGTTTTAATAAATTCGAAAATGCTCGAGTTCTATTAAATATGTTTACATTTAGACTACTGCAT